ATAATTACAAGGCATAAGAGGACAAAGCATCTTGCACAAAAAGCCACATGACTTACCCTAGCTCCAAGGTGCTAAATGCCAAAAGGGCATCTTGACCACAACCACACACCACACACACTACACGCGGCACGCACTCACACACGCACACCAACACATACACTTGCACACACTCACGGCAATGCACACACATGCACGGTTAATTAGCCTAACTTAGGATTAATTATCTCTTAATCCTTACTTAGTGCTTAATCAAAAATTAAGCATAATACTTAACTGATAAAATTATTCCGGACGTAAACGGTACGTCGGAAATAATTTCCGGGAATTCTGACTAAAATAACTGAAAATAACTAATTCCGAAAAAAAATATCGGAACTAAAATATATTATTATACTGATAAAAAGTTGGGATATTACAATATATATATTTAATGTATTAAAATATAAACTTATGCCGGTTTTCAAGCCAACTCATTCAAATAAATAAATCAATAAAATTGTTATTTAAATAAGCCCAATTACACAAATATTTCTAGTTTAAACCCTAAATATACTAAAAACATAAGTGCTAGTGGGCCTAGTTCTAGTACAAAATGTAGAATTCAAAAAAATATAAGTGCTAGTGGGCCCTGTTCGTCGAGCCCAAATAATTGACCCACAATGACTCGAATTGACCTCATAAAGTGACAACACCGACATTTATGTTGACATTCTTCTCAATATTCTTCTCTCAATTTTCCGGAAAGACTCGGGTGAAGGAGATAATTTGTTCACAAAATGTCGACGCTTGTATTAGAAGTTAACACATTCATCAAAGTCATTCTTGGAGAAAATCTACAATTCCTAGTACACGATTTATTTTACGATTTATTTATGTTCTATAAATGTGTTATTTCTGATAAACCCTAATTTTTTTTTTGGCATGCATTTTAATGATATTGATATCGTGAATAATAGGGTATTCCCGATGCAGTTGCTGGATATTTCGATGGGCTTCTGCCCATCGTTTGTGCGTTCCATAGCGACACTATACATAGTGGAATAAAATGGGAAATGAAACTGGAAAAAATTGGTGATAGGCTATGTTTAACTGATGGATGGGTTCCTTTCAGCCTTCAAAACAAACTTAAATGGGCAAATTTTGTGGCTTTCAAATTAGTTAAACCAAACAACTTTGAGTTCTACCACTTCGATCACAGTTGGACTCAGCAGAATCGGGTAATCCCCTGGTGTCATGTGCCCGAATCGGGTAGTCGCTCACAATTGTTGGAGGTTAACCGTTTTATGATAATTAACATCTACAGCAACACCAACACCAACCATCTCGTAAGATTTGTGTTTCTATCTTTGTTTAATGACTTGTGCTTAGTTTATATAATATCTATTTGTATGTCAAATTTTATACTTGTGTTTACAAACGAATTGCCTATCTCACATCACATCCGTATTTTTCTTAGCCTATCCCCCATAAGATTGGGTGCACTATGGAAAATTTGCTTCCAAATGAATGCATCTTACAGAACAGTGATGTGGATGATGCCTTCAAATGGCCTGTTGTAATTAAGCGCATTGGATCAAGGATTGGGTTTGATGATGGGTGGGATGACTTTGCGAGGGAAAATTCAGTTCAATATTGTCACATCCTACTTTTCCAACTTGAAGGACCAAACAGGTTCATTTGTTTTTCGAGTAAAACTGTAATTATTGTAAGAACATTTGACACTCATAATATTATAATCGACGTGCCCAAACAGGTTCATTGTATACCATTTTGACCCTTCATGTGCTCGGAGATACCTTAGATTTGTTTTGGAAAATTGCAATGATGAAGCTCTTGTTGGTGGGTTTCGTATCCAAGCATCCATGACTCTAGTTACCCGCGGCCGACAGGTAACAAATATGTATTGCAAATGTCTAATTTTTATTTTTATACTTCAAATAATGTCCTGTAACATTTGTAATGATATTGTTGATTTTTATTAATGCAATTTTTTTAATAACTATCAAACAGACAATTCCAGCTACATTCTGGAATCAAGAGTTAATGGGGAAATATGATGAAGTTTTATATGTTCGTATTCGGCGTGGGAACAAGCAGTGGATCGTTGATCTAAAGAAAGAAGGGACCAAACACATCTTCACAGGGCTGAAGCCTTTCATCCAATATGCTCAGATAGTTCAAGGAAGAACTATCACTTTTAGGAAAGTAGAACTTGAGGGCCGTGATTTGGTTTTCGATGTAGATTTTTAAATACTGTCATTTTCTTTTGGATGTCGATGGTTGAACATAATGCATTCATTTTTTTTTTTTTTTTCATTTTTTATCTTCAACTGCAGCTTATGTAATGTTCAATGGGGGCTATATGTCAACCAGTTATGCTAGTTTTTGTTGCAAATTATTGGTTCATGTTTCTCCTTTGTTTGATGGTAGTTTATGTTATTTGGTAGTTGTCATCTATTTATTATAATATACAGTTTTGATTCTTTTGACTCTGAATGATAATACAATTTTGTTGTACAATTTTTGTACTGTATGTTGCATTAGTCTAAAATATGTACATGCAAAAATTGAAATTTTGGGTTAGCAAGTGATATGTACAGCAACTACACAAAAAAAGTGTCTACAAAAAAAATAAAAAAAAAATATTCAATAAGTACAAGGACAATGGACAGGAACACCTGTACTTTATTTTTTTCAAAACATCAACAATATATTAAAACTCTAGATATAATAGCAACCAATAAAAATGGACCAACTGCAAGGTACGAGAATCATACACTAGACTGTGTGTTGGAGCATTTGCATGTACGAGAATCCTTAGCCAGAATTATCAGAAAAAAATGAGCATTTTGAAAGTTTGTCAGCTATCAACCCAATATCTGTAACAAGCACCCTCACTCCACAACTTGCTTCCTTTTGCTTGTTTATCAGCGGCAATCTGAATTGTCTCTACTCTGCAGTATAAGGAACTGAGAGGCCGTATTTGTTGTTGCATCTGCATCATCCAGGGACCATCCACTATATCTTTGTCTGCAATTCTGGTTTTAATAACAACCAATAATTTCTGGTCTATTTCTATCCTGCATATAGTGATCAGTTACAACAGAACACAAATCATGTCAGCAATCATTAAAGGATGTCCTATTTATATCAAAATGCTTCCAATACAACGGACACAGCTTCCAATAATTCACAACCCTCATACATGTAAAGAGAATATGTTCTAAATCCTCAGTTTTTATCCACAAATACAACAGATATTATCAACATTGATTTTTTTGTGCAGCAACTGAGCATTTGTGTTCAACAATACATACCAGCATCTCCATCTTTTTAATCACAATAGATTACAGTATCATGTCACCCTAAACAACCAAGACGTTATCAATTACAGTATAGAAAGGTAGGAGAAAAAATGAACAAGGAAATGTAGGAGATCTTATTGAGTTCAACAAAGGCACCAGCTCTTTGTCATCCACACACACTGCAATTAATCTACTTCCACTTGTGCTTGTAGGCTTCATCAAGTGCTCTTCTAACAGCAAATAGACGTCCACTCTGCGATTCCTCTAACTCTGACTTCACATGAATCCATCTATGAATCTCCACTCCATCATGAGTTGCCACTCCTCGAAATTATGTCCTAATTAAGAATATAACATAAACAACATTCATTCCTCGTTCATCAAATCTTATAAAATGAAAATAAATAAATCATCTCATTTGTTCCAAAGCTAACATAATAAAATGATATCAATTGCAAAAGGCAATAGATCTGGAATATTAAAAAATAAATTAAGATATAACACAACAATACAAAATTAGGGAGACAACCGACAAGTAAATCTAATTCATCTGTGAATACCAAAGAATATTCGAAATCCAATGGTTGTTATGAAATATTTTTCTAAACCTGATAGTGGTGTTTTATTAGGTTAACCATTCGATTTGGGAAAAGGTTACCTGAACGGAGTGCTCATCAGAGAAGCGAAATTAGGGGATGCGAAGTTCTCGCCAGTGCAATCGAAGGCATAAGCGACGACGATGATGCTTAGATGACGATGAATGAAGAACGATAGATGAACAAAAATATACCGAAAAAAAAAAAAAAAAAAAAAAAAAAAAAAAAAAAAAAAAAAAAAAAAAAAAAAAGCTAAGATGAACATTTAGATAATGTATTGTAATAATAAAATTCATAAAGGATTGATATATAAATTAGATAAAGTCAAGGCTTTCAGAATAAATAGAAACATCAATTTATAATTTATTTATATTTTAAATAATAGTAAGGGTAAAATAGGTTTTTCGCTTGTACAATAGTACAAATGCATGTACAAAGCATAAATCTTTCTTTTTTTTTTTTTTTT